CTGGGGAAGAAAAGGTGGGTGCTGCACACACTGTATTCCACTTAAAAACTCTATTTTGCAGGCGTCAAGAACATGCCTGTATCCCTTTTCCCCTCAAGTTATGCATCAGTGCATCAGTGAGAAAGGGGCCAATGAGAAATATAAGGGTAGAAAGTTGTCAGGTTGAAGATGTCACTGGAAGCCGTTGATTTGATCATATGTAGGCAGTTCGGGATATTGGCCGCTTGATGCTGGCTATGGGAGTGTCATCATCCGTCTTTAGACAGCATTACTTGCTCAACATGGAGAATGGCGTAGAAACGGTGGCCTTACCAAAGCTCTTTTCCATTCCTTCCAGTACTGCAGCCAACAGGTCATTGAACACTTACAGAAAGGCAGACGCATGCCTCAAATGGAGTACAAAAACTAAAGCTTGCATGCTAGAATAACTATGCTTGATATATTAGATATTGACGTCCAGAACGTCACTGTATTATTTTTTTTATGTACATGAACTGGGTCACAATTTCATGCCAAGGTCAACATCCTCGAAACACTGAAAAGTAGAAGTTTCAGGTTTGCAACTTTCGGTCAGTTGCAATGAAAGTTGACATCCAGGTTAAACTTCAATTAAAACTTCTGGATGCAAGTTACACTGTCAACTACTGTCCAGAATTGTTTTGTCACACCTGAAAACTGCTATCCGCCAGACCTTATAAGAATTCCAAGGGTTCTCCCCAAAGGAAATCAAAGACTGGTTTGAAGAAAATGACAAAGTAGTTCGAGGATGTGCAGGGGAAAAGGATATCCGCCCACAAGATATATATCTTACTCTGCCTATGAAAAAAAAAAACACAACCTTTCATATTTCCTACAGCAAATTTTGGTGTATACTACAAGAAATCAAAAACAATTGATGGATAAACCTAGCAGCGAAGACTCTTTATGCAAATACTAGTAGCTACAAGGACTTTTACAAAACACTGAAGGCAGTGTGCACCTCTTCATACCAGATTATCTCTTCATACCAGGTTCAAAGTCCTTTGTGTGCTGACGGCTTCTTGCTTATGAGTTCACACCTACCAGTACTCAGCCTCGCATGTTTAGTGTCAGTTCCTCAAATAAAATATACTCAGATGAGAGTTAGGATTAAGCAACATTTTTGTATCCATCTGTATTTGTCACATTTAGTTTAGTTTGTGGTGCTACACTTTAGCTTGTGACAGTGGTGGTGTAATTTCTTTTACAAAGTACATAGGTGGAAAGTTTTGGAACGGCCACTTGCTTGAGTGTTCTCACCCACCTCGGCCTCAGGTTTAGTGTCAACGGAATATGCAATATAAAACAGCTGTTGATAACCAAGATAAAGACATTCGGTGAACCTAGAACCCCCCCCCCCCCACTTTTAGAGGCCATTTTTCATTTTGAATTTATACTGTATTTTCAACATAAAATGTTTGAGTAGTTTATATGGTCTACTGGATTCCAGGATCGGAAAGCATACGGTAGGTATTACAACCAAGATTATGGCAGTGAGGGCACCTACAGCCATTTTATTACCAAAAACCTGGTTTTATCGGCCATTTTGGATTTTGAATGTAGGCCTATAGTATTTTTACAATAAAGATATTATTGTAGTTTATATATATATACAGTATTTGAAGGTGGTTTGTCTGCAATGTGATTAACATCGGTTGTTCCTAAACTCGAGTGTTGGTTTCTATCATTTAACTATATATATATATATATTTATATATATATTACTTTATATGATCAATTGGATTACTTGATCTAAAGCATTGCTGTGGACACTTAAGGTCATGGTATTTAGGGCACTCGCAGTCATTTTAATACTAGAAATGTGTTTGGCGGCCATTTTGAATATTGATTTTGCATTTTCGCAATGAAGATGTATGCTATGGTGTTTTATATGTATTCTATTGGATTCCTTGAACTAAACAACATAGGTTTTGACACCAAGATTGTGGTAATATGACAATTAGAGCCTTCAAACTGCCAAAATTGTGTTTTTTTGTGGCCATTTTGATTTTTCCAATTTTAGGTGGGCGATTGGAGTGACATCGTGGTTTCCACAATTTTTGGAATCTGCATACTCAAAAACCCCCTAGGACAAAAAAAAAAATGATCAACACATATCCGCCCCCTAGAAGAGTATTTCCATTTTTTTTGACGTCATCATCGTCTTGAGTCTCTAGATGACCAAATGTAGCACTCTCAGAATGCCTTTTCTCCATTTTAATTTTTTTTTCTACAAAATTAACTGGGTCAAAACTGGCTTTTCCCAACCCCCTGAAACTTCTGCTTACATTCATAAGCGACTTTATACAATTTCTTCTAACCCTCTGAATTCATAACCCCCCCCCCAAAAAAAAAAAACAAACACAATCTGTTTATATATTAATTGTGTTTAATAATATAACTTGTAAACATAAGTTTTATGAAGTGTTTTATGACTGTTTTTTTTACGTTGTATGAAAAAGATGTATGGCAGATTTGAACCTGCAACCGCAGCTATGAAGGCATGTGCTATACTGCTAGACCACATATACCCTGTCTCTTATACACATCTAGATGTGTATAAGAGACAGGGCCTTACCAAAGCTCTTTTCCATTCT